TTGCAAATTTTTTTTTTTGGTTGGAAATATACACGAAATTTTTATTATTTATTTTTTTTTTTTATAAAAAAAGGGTAATCCAATTGTCCATTTTGACAAAAATCTGTCTGTTATCTGTTATTGTTTTAAAATATTTTTTTTTGGCTAGTTTTCTTTTCTTTTTTAAATGTATATATATATATATATATCCAGCTCAATTGACTTAACACTTATTCATTTCGTCGATTTGAGTTTAGAATTTGAGTTTTACTACCGTAAAAAACTCTCAGAAATAATCACATCTAACTTTTTTACTATAATAAAAATTCTCATATAAAATTATATTTTAACTCAAATTAAAAATTTAAATTGGCAAACTAAACAGCACTTAATCTGTTTATGTTCACCAGTCACCATCCAGTCATCCACACCCAGGTGATAAACAACTTCGGAATGGGCCGGGCTAGGATTTGTTAATTTTCTAGACCAGGAGCTGTATATGGGCTAAGAAAGAAAGGTAACCCAGTGCGTAATTTCTAGTTAAAAAAAGGAAAATAGTAGAAAATAGACCAATATAAAAAGTTTAAGAAAGTATATAGGTTAATTTTTAGTTATAAAAATTAATAGGTCATAACTTATCAAGTTATGATTCATAATTAGATAAATTATGGATAAACTTGTCAAGTTATGGCTCATAACCAGACAAGTTATGAACAATTATGGACAATAACTTGTCAAGTTATGGTTCATAACCAGACAAGTTATGGACGAAAACAGTAATTTGGCCTATTTATTAACTTATGTAAACTATTGGCCTATTAATTTTAATTCATCTCAAATCTTGACATATTTCTCTCTTTCTCCCTTAAAAAAAAAAAAAAGAAAAGTACTTGGTTGACTTGCAAACCTATATTGTATGTCATTATAAATAATTAAACGTTATTGTAAACTTTTTTGTTTCTTTATTAACTGAATAATAATTATTTATTTTCGAGTGAAGTGACATATATAATATTTTTTACCATCTTACATGATATTTATGGTCTTTTTCCAAAAATTAGGGTATGTGCCTCTCAACTCATCTCTTTAGTTTTGTGACACTCTTATAATTCTGCCTTTCTTAAGATTAATATATAAAATAAGAAAGCGAAGAAAAAAATCTTATAGCATTTAATAAATGGTAAAAGTTCTTACAATATATTTTTTATTGAAAAAATCTTTCATATTACTTTGTTAGAGGGGCATTCCTCTAGTTTTTCCTTCATTTTCCTCGTCGAGAAAATTATGAAATTTCTCCTCTTAATTTCGTTTCTTTAGTTTTGTGCCTTATATCTTACGTCCATTTGGTTCATAAGTTTTAATCTATAGCTTTGATTCTGCTACAATATTTTTTTTTACAAAAATATTGAATTTAAAAAATTCTTGTTAGTGGGTTCTCTTACAAAATTTGAATGCATAATTAAAATCATTAGTTCGAACCTATAAACCAAACGGGGCCTCAAAATTTTTTGATTCTTAATTTTGTGACTCTAATTCCGTTATAATAATGTTGTATCTCTTAAGTTAGTATAAAAAGGATAAAGTGAAAATATAAATAATACAGTGCTTAGTAAATGTATAAATCTTTAATGCCTCGTCAGAATTTAGAGGACATTTCTCAAGATTTCCTTCCTTGTACTTGTCGAGAAAATTAAGAAATATGCCCATTAATTTCTTTTTTAGTTTCGTGACTAATTATGTGATTCTTTCTTAGAATTGTGGCTCTGAATTTAATATATAAGATTATAACGGGAGAAAAAAAAAGTAGAAATCTTATATAGAAAATTAAGTGGTATGACAAAGCTTTTATATGTATTCAAATTTATACGATATTTTTCTGTCAAAACAAAAAAAAAAAATTATACAATATTTAGTTGATATTTAATTTTGACTAATCTATTTATTTGATACAATTACAAATCCAAAACTTCAATACAAGTGGCATAAATCTAAAGGTGGTGTTTTTTCTTTCTTTCTTTTTTTTTATGCCAAAAGCACATAGTAGAAATAATCCATAACTCAGCTAACCAATGGCCAAACAAACTAAACAAGACACCTCTGCTATTTATTGGCAAAGAGTCGGTAGGTCAAACAAAAAGAACAATGCTATTAGACATAAGTGATGTTGAGCATCATTTATAAATAGAAAATGGATCTACAGTATGAGTTCATAAATGGAGTTCACATTCTATTAGTAGTGGTGCTTAATACCGGTAATGTCTTAAAATGTTATTCAAATAAATTACTTTAACTTAACAAGGGGCGCACTTTAATTATATGTTAATGTTACGTGATCAATTAGAATACCACGAAGCACATCCATCACTAACATTCTTAAAATATGTGAATTTTATAGGTCTCGTTCTTTTCACGAATTCAAGTGAAAAACTCAAACTAAAATTTAAATTTTTATAAAAGAAAAAAAGGTTGAATTATAATTCGAACTCTAAAAAAAAAAAAAAAAATGTTAATGTTAGCTGTACAAATCCTTGTGCTCCTCATTGAATGTGCATTTCTTTACTCTCTTCTATTGTCGTCCATAATCAGAAAGACTAGAACGATATTATTATTAAAATATAAATTAAATAAAAAACACGTAAAGTCTGATCAAAATAAAATGCATGGTGAAAATGAAAGAAATGGCAACAGTTGTAGCAATTATTTTCTTTCTATCTTTCTTTCTTTATTTCATTTCCGAAAAAAAAAAAATAGAACAAGCTGCTTATACGACACTTCATCTAGGAAACATCATTCAGTGATCACTGCAAAAGTATATAATTATTCAAGGGCAATTACATCAGCACCATGAATACTGATCCCTAATTCTTGCTTAATTTTTGTTTTTGGTCTTCATGACTACTTTAATAGCTTGCATTGTTCTTGTTATCAAATTATTTGAACTATGTTTAAGACGCTAAGGCATTGACCAAGCTAGAAGCCAGAGTGTTGGACAGATAATTATAAATATACACAAGTACATTGCATGTGTAATATATTTGCATGATGCTTTAATTAATATATCTCTCATAGTACGTATCTCAATTAAAGACATAAAATATTAGACGGTTTATCCAAATTGTAATAAGTCTTATAAGTCAATTTAAAAGATAATTTTGCTTGATTTGAACGAACATATTTTAAACACATTTTAAATTAAACATCAATTCGGGTAGAGCAATTGATTAATTGTGTTGTTAATACAAATCCTAAGCATGTGACGGGTGATTATTTTGTTTTAAATGTACAAATATTAAATGAATAAAAGATATATATAGCCAACAAATCTTGTATATACGTCCAATCCTAGTCCTAACTCGATTAGAAAAATTGTAATAGAATATACCAGATGAATCCAATTTTCAAAAAGTCATATCATATTATTATTTCATCTTGAATAGATAATTCAAATCAAGTATAATTTGATATCAGAAATTAAGTAAAGATATTCAAACAAATGGTTCTCTTCAAAATACATTAATTTAATTGCTAATGAGACGAGTAAGAGGTATACTAAATTTATATTGATAAGTGACAACCATGACTAAAATGAAAGATAGGATCTTCTAGATTATGAAGAACTAATTATAATATATACTTATAAACTAATATCAGGATGAGTAGGTTTACAAAAAACCTGGTACAACCATTGGAATTGTTCAAAAACCATCTTCTTCTCTATTTTTAATTGTTTCTTTCATGAATATTTTTATGGAAGAAAACATTTTCATCTACGTACCAAATTTGTACTTTTTTGGTTTTTTTTTCATAATTACATATCGACATATCTTAGACTACTAGTGTTTTTTTTTTTTTTTTTAAGGGAATTCTACTACTAGTTTTCTGTATACAGGAGCCATAATCAAGTTGTAAAAATAAAAGTTTAATACAAATTTTTAAAATTAATGTTTCGTATAGCGTCTAAAAGTTTAATATACGTGTGTGTGTGTTTGTATGCCGAAATATATATGCTAATCATATATTTTAAAGTAACAACTTTCACACTACATGAAATTGTATAAATAATTAATCTCAATACACCAGCTATATCAACCGACTAATAATTTTAAGTAATAATCTAACCTAGTTTTGCAAATGGGGCTTTGCAATTATTTATCAACCCACATTCTTATTATTCTCCTTCATGGCTTCGTTTATACATATTAATATAAAGATGTATAACATATTCTAAAGAAAGTTTCTCGGTTTTTCGAGAGAAAAGATGTATAAATTAATGTTAGTCCAATAAGTAGGGTGTTCCCTTGCACTAACATGACTTTAATATGCCTGGATCAGATCCCGTTTAAAGCAAGTTATATTTATATTTGAATTATATATGCTTTGCAATAAAGATATATAAACGTACAATAATGGCACCTGAAATTGATTAGATATTGTCCTAAGAGATCAATAGGTTGAAACTGAAATTATCAATTAGTATTTAATTAATTTGGTAGTACAATATTACGAATAAACAAATGTGAATTCAGCCCAATCAAAGTGTTCAAAATTCATCAATTGTGGCATTCACCACTCTCAACAATATACTGCCATTTCTTTATTATCTGCTTATTTAGATTTGAATGATATATGCTTGGCAATAAAGATACATAAACGTACAATAATGGCACCTGAAATTGATTAATTATATACTGTCCTAAGAGATCAATAGGTTGAAACTGCAATTCTCAATTAGTATTTAATTAATTGGTAGTACAATAAGCCCAATTAAAGTGTTCAAAATTCATCAATTGTAGCTTGCACCACTCAACAATATTGCCATTTCTGCTTGTATACCTCATAAAATTTGCATGTATTGTGCATGCATACGATTCCATAACCTCTACAAGAAGTTGCACATAAAACTGTATGATCATATATAATCAATGGTTAATCTTTCTTTCTTTGATCAAATATTTGTTTATGCCTTGATCAGTTTTGTTCTTTCTTTTCATCTTTGCCAATCATATTCAAAAGTTGGAAAGAATCAAAGTCACTGTTGAAGAAGACATTAACACATCACTGTTTAACCTACACTGCTAAAAACTCTTTTCTTTTTCTTTTTCTTTTTTTTTTTTGCTTTTTCATATCCCACTTGGGGAGGAGCTAGCTATCTTTGATTGAAATCCTAGACCTAACTGAAGATCTAAAGATTTACAGCTTTGTTTCGGAGAAGGCTTGAAGATGACAGAAGATCCATTGTTTGCTCCTCCTGATCTCATGTTGTCTGAAGCATGTGTTGTTAAGGTGAACTTGCATGTTTCTTGGATGGAAGGGGTATAATTGTAATTATCGTAATTAGTTGGTGAAGAATACCAACTATTACTATTAGATAGCTGAGAAGAATTATGATGATCAGCATATTCAAAAGGGTTGAAACTAATCTGTTGGGACTCATCATGGAAGGTCAAATCTGAGGCATTATATGAAGAGGAATAATAATTATCAAACAACATTGGTGGGGTAGTAGTGGAAGTAGTATTTGAGCCTGAATTATATTGGTATGAAAAGCCAAGGCTGTTTTGGAAAGGTTGAAGGTAATAGCTGAGGCTGGCTTTCCTGGCTTGAAGCTGCAACCTTTTCTTCTTCATTCTCTCCTTCTTGTGGGCATTTTGATGGCCTCCCAACGCCTGCGAATTCGCAAACTCCTTGAAGCAATACTGGCACTCAAACTTCCTGTCATGATTAATATGATCTGGCGAGCTTTTTATGGTGATCTCCTTGGGAGGTACAGAGTTTGAGGAGTTGACACTCTCATCTCCTAATTCTGCTGATGAGCCGCCGCCTTTCAAAGAGCTCGTTTCGTGATCGATATTATTATTAATCTTGCATGGATTCAGCTCAAAACCAAACAATTTGAGCTTCTTCTCAATACAAGATCCAGAAGAATGGCCATCATGTTCCTCATCACATGAGGGATGAAGATGGCTTAAGGCATCTTTTGCCATATTGTTTGGCTTAATTAATACAAGAGGGGTTTTAATTATTTGTGTGTGGGATTTCTTTGGTGGTGAAATTGTGCACAGATTAGTGGTTGGTTTCACTTGCTTTTATAGTAGACTCTTTGTGGTTTACAACGATGCAATGCATCTAAACAATAATAGGTTTAATAAACACAAACGGCACAAGCACACTCAATGGTCATTTTATAAAAAAAAAAAAAAGGCAGAAAAGAAAAGTCAGATCAGAGAAGCCATCTCATGCAATATTTATTTTTTA